CACCAACCAGCTGGGGGAGGGGGGGGGAGCCGCAGGGGCACGGGTGAACCCAGGCGCTCCCACCTCCCTTGGAGCTTTCCGTATAAAACCCCCCATTTTCTCCTACAACCCCTTTCCAAAGCCACCCCAGAGGATGCCACGGGCTTTACTGCTGGAAAGGCACCCGCCGTCCCCACCTCGTCCCCATCCGCGCCACCCCCAGAAGACAGACAGACCCAGGAGGCACCTTACCAATTTTTTAAGACAAGAGTTGTTATCAGAGCGGCTATGACCATGATGAGGGACACGGTAATAGTGATTATCTGATGAACCGCCAGACCTGCGGAGAAAAAGAAATGAGAGAGAGTGGGGAGGGGCGCCACGGGGGACCCCGTCCAGCATCCCGCAGACCCCCGTCCAGCATCCCGCAGACCCCCCGCCGCGCACAGACCCCCCCCCGCCGCCCCCCCCGAGCCCTGCCCCGGCACGGGGCCGCACGCAGCCCCCGGCAGCGGCGACGCAATCCTCTCTCCTGCCTTACATAAAATAATCTTTAAGCCAGGCTTCTCATTTCCTATCCTCTCAAGTACGTTCCCTGTCAGCCCGAATTAGGCACGAAGAACGGAAGAGATGTGAAGACGTATCCCCTCCGGGACGGAAAGGGAAACTTGAGCGCAGCCTTGCAGTGGGTGCAGGATTAACCAGAGATAATAATTACCGCACTAACTGCCGCTCACTTAGAAGGTCGGGTGGGCTCATTTTCTCGTAATTCACCTTACACAGGGTATAATTTGGGCTCGCGTATCATTCCTAATGAGCAGTTTGGAAACAAAAGCGTCTCGATGTACAGTATGTTTGCGATTTTGTGCCGCTTTACAGTTGCAATTTCGTAATGAAATGATTTTCCTGGCTGCAGCCCAAGGATGTGCTATTTTTCACAAGCAGATGTTGCAGCTCCTGATGGATGGTATTTTTAATAAATAAATAAGTCCTAGCCTGACAGGAAAACATGAAGTTTTATATATATATATATGTATATGTGTGTGTGTGTGCGCATCTGTGCAATGCAGGCGTAGCGCTCCCCACTCGTGCGGGAGCGTGTGGCAAGGAAATCGCTGCTTCTTCCCACCCAAGAGCGCTCGGGCTCATCTGCCGGCACCGGGGATGCCGGTGTGGCC